AGTTTATCGTATAATGACTTGTATCACTTCGCGTCCACCATAACTTGCCTGACATTTCAGCTAACTTAATGAATATTGATGAATAACTTAATGAATATTGATTGAATGTAGTTTAACGTTTTACCCAGGGCGAAAAAGTTATTTGGAAACTTTAAAATATCATGAATATATAGCGTGTCTACAAAACTATGAACTATATTTTCAACCTACAATCCAGTGAATATTTTTATTTATCATCTGCAACCAATTATAAATCAGGATTGAAAGGAGAGTAAGGTTTGAAGAAAAAAAAAGTGCTACTGAAAATGGGAGAGCATTCGAATGACGAGATCGATACGGTGGGTAACTAACGTGATCACATCTAAATATGCAAGACGTCGTTCCAATCTGTGCAGCAATCGAATAAAAACGAACGCCGTTAGAATGAATGAATATCATGCAGTTACAAGAATATGTTCGCTGTAGAAAAAATCTAATAATAGTGTGAATACATACAAGTAGAGGAAAGTTTACAAATAAGCTTTTCTCTACCTCTCTCTCAAACTACCCACCACTTCGTCTGTGAGTGCCCTGTTCCTATTCCTTTCTCCACATCTCTCTCTCTCTCTCTCTCTCTCTATCTATCTATCTATCTATCTATCTATCTCTATATATATATATATATATATATATATATATTGAGTTTGAGTAAGTGCGTGCACGTACGTGCGTGGTTGCGAGCAAATGTGCTTCTCTTTCGCCCACTCTGTGTGACACTGTTGGCATGTGTGCTGAATCCGTGTACGTATATGTCTGAGCAAAAACAAAAGGCCGACAGAGTTCTGCCAATACCGATGCCAGTGGGTGGTAAGAGACCAAACATGCTGAAAAATCGTTTGTCCGTCGGCTTTTCTTTAGACGAAGTGATAAATGCTGATAAGACGAACGGCAGATAAGTAAAGTCGCGCCTCAACTTACAGTGCACACGACACACACACACACACATATATATGTATGTATGAATGTATGCATATATATATATATATATATATATATATATATATATATATATATATATATATATATATATATATATATATATATATATATTTTATGTCCAAGATCCCTTTCTTCCGTTCACATGCACAAAGATACAAATGTATGTATATATATATATATATATATATATATATATATATATATATATATATATTATGTCCAAGTTCCCTTTCTTCCATGCACAAAGATACAAAACGTATATATATATATATATGTGTGTGTGTGTCTGTGTGTGTGTTTGTGTGTGTGTGTGTGTGTGTGCATGTATGTGTCTGAGTTCGTATGCCCATGTGTAATTTTATCCAAAGACTTACTCACACACATATATTATACAGTGCGAACGATGTATATATATATATATATATATATATATATATATATATATATATATATATATATATATATATATATGCACACATGTATCTTGGGGTGTATATGGGTGAAAGCACAGATGGACACGTATATATATATATATATATATATATATATATATATATATATGTGTGTGTGTGTGTGTGTGTGTGTGTGTGTCTGTGTCTGTGTCTGTGTGTGTGTGTGGGGTGTGTATGGGTGAAATTACGCATGTTAATGTACTTATATTTTCATATAAAAATACCTACAACATCTGCACACACACACACACATATAAATGCTCAATTTGGAACATAGTGAATTTCTAATATATACAAAATTCATAGGCGTGTGTGTGTGTGTGTGTTCGGCTGATTTCTTTTCTCGCTTTAACTACACCTTTGAATGTGGTAAGTAAACATGCATTACATATGGTATTGTTAACATTTATTTGATCGCATAATCACATTTTCTCACTTTATATATATATATATATATATATATATATATATATATATATATATATAGTTTTAAAAACAAGGAATGTATTGATTTTAATTTTAAAAGTCTCTAGGGCCCTTTCAGCCAACATCTCATCAGGAGACAATCGTTGGATCAACGGAAAGAATATTAACGACAATGAAGAGCAAAAAGAGGGGGGGCACACTAAAAAAAACAAAAAAACAAGTGTATATATTTGTAACGAGGGGAGGGGAAATAATCGTGTAAATAAATTAGCGAGGGACAGTTAAAATAAAATATCCCCCAACAGATTAAGAGAATTTACAAATTCTTTCTGCCGGCAGAGAGAAGGTTTCCTTAATCCTATGCAGACCGATTCCAAAATCTTCAAATGATTGTTGGAATCGGCTGTATGAATAATACATACACACACACACACATATATATATATATATATATATATATATATTTAGTTGGATAGATGTGAGTTTGTGACCTAGGTTTCACGCTTTAGCGATTTTGTCTGACGATCGCTAAAGCGTGAAACCCAGGGTCACAAACTCACATCTCCAACCAAATATGTTAGCTCTATCTCTGATATTGAGCGCTTTCTAATAAGTATTATGCATATAATATATAAATAATTATACATATATATATTTATATTTATATACCCTTTTCACACACACACACATATATATATATATATACACACACACACATATATAAAATATATATATATATATATATATATATATATATATATATATATATATATAGTTTTTCCATATATATAGTCATTTAGTGGTAATTGATTAAACGAGACCAGCTTTCTAACCATTACACCATGTTGAAGTTCCCACTAAGCGTAGCTTAGATGCAGTACAAAGCCGAAAGTGTGGGGCACCCAGTGTGGATCGAACTCACTACTGAGTCGTAACCGATCTAGCGAGACATGCTTCATAATCATTATACCACGTGTGTGTGTGTGTGTGTGTGTGTGTGTGTGTGTGTGTGTGTGTGTGTGTGTGTGTGTGTATCACGTACAATTTTGAGGATCAAAACGATGAAGGGCGTAGACGCTGAGAATTTAAAATTTCCACACCCCCTTACAAAACAATACATAAAATAGTCGCCTCCAAGCGGGGTGTTTAAAACTTAAAATTCTTATCGCTCCCCCTTTCTTCCGTGCGCATGTGCAGTTGCATCAACATAAACATCACTTCATTCTGATAAAGTCTTAAAGAATGCAACGCGTCACAATGAAAATACAGGGTGTCCATAAAGTCTCTTTATAATTTTAAAAAAATATTACAAAAGCAAATGAACAGACAAATTTGTGGAAATTGTTACAAAATGAGGAATAGATATTGAAGTATTTTTAACACCTCTTTATGGGCACCATTAATTGCACGAAGCGCATGGAGACGGTACACGATTTCTTGCCATGTTCGCTGTAGCGTAGCCTCATCAATGGTGGCCATAGCATCATTGATATTTTGCTTTAGATCAGTGATGTCCTATATTTTTGTTCGATGCACGATATCTTTAAAATAACCTCATAGAAAAAAGTCCAGGTTGCGTGTGATATGATTTAAAAAATCTACTACAAAGGCAAATGAACAGACAAATATGTGGAAATTGTTACAAAATGAGGAATAGATACTGGAGTTTTTTTTGTTAACTAATTTAATACACCTCTATATGGGTACCATTAGTTGCATGAAGAGGGTACTCGATTTCTTGCCACGTTCGCTGTAGCATTGGCTCATCAATGGTGGCTATGCCATGAGGGATTGCTGTGCCGTATCGATACACGATTTCTTTAAGATAACCCCGTAGAAAGAAGTCCAGGGGTAATATCTGTTGAATGAGGTGCTCAGGGAATTGGGCCATCCCCTCCAATCCACTAGCCTGAAAATATTAAGAGTTCATTTAATAGTATCTCTTTCATCAACAGGACACATGAAATACACAAACGCAATGTGATTAAAAACCTTGATAAATACTGAATACATCGAATAAATCTGATTACGATATCTCATCAGTAGCCTTTGTCTTTATGGACACCCTGTATTTTTCGTCATATTTTTCCCTGATATATATGGTATAATAATACTACAGTGTAACCCGGATATAAGAGAAATCCGGATATAAGAGAAACCCGGATATAAGATAAACCCGGATATAAGAGAGATTTTCTCTGGTCCCAAATTAGAGCCTGTGTTATTGTATATAAAATAGACCAAACCCGGATATAAGAGAAACCCGGATATAAGAGACTTCTTCTCCGGTCCCGACAACCCTCTTATATTCGGGTTACACTGTATATAATACTGGAAAATGAACTTTGATCTTCAAACATTTAAATGCAAGACCAGTCGCCGTCTTCTGTCTTCTTAATTCCTGTTCATTTATTGTTATCTCTCCTCACTCAGGAACACCTTGTGCCTTACTGTCTCTATGTCTTGCGTAGAGTAAAAAGACAACAAAAAATATTGCTGAAAATGCTCTAACCTTAAGCATCTTAGAGTTGCCAATTAGCCACTGACACTGGAATTTTAAATGAAGTATTCTCGCCTTGCTGGAAAAATGTAATTGATAATATCCGCTGGTCGACAATGAAACATAACTTGATTATATCCCTGTTTAAGGGTTAAGCATAACTCAGCTGCAGGTCGTCATTTAGAAAAGAAGCGACGTTACCAGTTATGCCACTATACACCATCTCTTAGACGGGGCGCGCATGCAGATTCATTTAGACATGAAGCCACACTTACATACACAGAAAGACATTTTTAAAAATAACACACGCATATGCACACAGGCAGCTATACATCCACGCAAGCAATCCTCACTGCCTTCACGTTAGAAGGTCAAAATATGGAACCGTTATCAACTGCAAATATATATATATATATATATATATATATATATATATATATATAAAAGGAACAAACAAAGAGATTTTTAAAAAGAAGTAAAAAAAAAAAAAAAAAGATGGGGGAGAAAACGAGTGTAGAGTGAAAAAGAGAAAGCTGTGTAAATCTCCTGTCTTGGAGTCACAAAGTTTCTAGTTAAAGCCTGCAATCGGTCCTGCCATCGCATCAACTCTTGACCCTGATAAGCACGACCAATACTTCTACCATTTAGAGTGAAGGAAAAAAAGAAAGACAGACAAAAAGAAAGAAAGAACGAAATAAGAAGAAGAAGAAAAAAGAAGAAAAGGAAACAATTACCCAAACGCAAAAAGATGAAAATAAGCGGCTCTGTAATGAAAGATAATAATAATAATAATAATAATAATAATAAGAAGAAGAAGAAGAAGAAGAAGAAAACGAACGAGAGACAATTAGCCTGTAGGGAGAAAAAGGAACAAAAATAGCGACGAAAGAAAGCAAAAGACCGAAGAATGAATGAAAAAACGGAACGAAAGAAATAATGAAAACGATGAAAGAAAGGGATACAGCAGAAAGAACGAAAGAGAAAAGAAAGAAAGAAAGAAAGAAAGAAAGAAAGAAAGAAAGAAAGAATAATAATAATACTAAGAAGAAGAAGAGGAAGAAAAGAGAGGTGGTGATAAAGAAAACATTGAGGAACTAAACGAAAAGAAAGAACGTTCAGACATTGAAAGCAATATTTCACATTGATCAGATAATTTTATTTAGCAACGTTGAACCAGATCATGACTTAGGTGGGTGTTCGTTTCTGAACTTTGGCCGCTATGAGAGTCTTCTAACCTTATACCAGACTTAGTTAGCCATAGTAATAGAAGAAAAGAAGGAGCTAAAGATAAGAAGAATATAAGTAGTCGAGCGCGGAAGAAAGAGAAGAGAAAATCGAAAAGTGTAGGAATATATGGATTACTGATGGGGGGGGAGGGGTAATAGAAAGAAAGGGAAAAGAAAAAAGGGCAACGGAGACAGAATAAAAGAACGTGTCGAGGAAAGGGTAGGAAAGAAAACAGGGAGAGAGGAAAACATTGAGTGACAAACGGAAAAGAGAGACCAATTTGACAACGCTACAAAAAGTGGTAGGGGATAATGAGACGGAGAGGCAAACATGACAGAGAAAGAAAAAAGAAGAGAATAAAGAAAAAGGAGAGAGAGAGGGGGGAGAGATCAGAAATTGCAAAAGAGAGAGAAAAAGAAAGGAGAAGACGGCGATAAAGGAAAAAGAGAGAAGGATGAGAAAAGGAGAAAAAGACCAAAAAATAGAAACTGTAAGAGGGGGGAGGGGAGGGGAGAGGGAGGGAGGGAAAGTGAGAGAGAGGGAGGGAGAGAGAATGAGAGAGAAGAGAGAGAGAGAGAGAGGGAGGGATGGATGGAAGGGAGAGAATGAGAGAGAGGGAGGGAGAGGAGAGAGATGGAGGGAGGGAGAGAGAGAGGGAGGGAGGAGAGAGATGAGAGAGAGGGAGGGAAAGTGAGAGAGAGGGAGGGAGAGAGAATGAGAGAGGGAGGGAGAGTGAGAGAGAGAAGATGGAGGGAGAGTGAGAGAGAGAGAGATAGGGAGGGAGGGTGAGAGAGAGGGAGGGAGGGAGAATGAGAGAGAGGGAGAAGAGGAGGAGGAAACAGAGATAAAAGAGAGAGAAATAGTTTGTAGAGAGAGATGGGCAAGGAAAGGAAAAAAATCGGAACTAAAAATGGAGGGAAAGAAAAGAAAAAGAAGACGATAATAGACGCAAGGAAGTGGGGAAGAGGAAGTTGCAATAGAAGAAAAAGAGGTTAGGGTGAGGAAAGGGAAAAGAGAAAAGTAGAGGAAATAGCGATAGAATAAAATGAAGGGAAGGAGGAAAAAAAGGAGGCATGACGAAGAAGTTGAAAAATGCGAGAGTGATGAAGAGAAGAGGAAACAGTGATAGAAGAAAGAGAAGGTAAGGTAAGATGTGAAGGGCAACAATGAGAAAGAGGGAAACGTAGAAACGGGGGGGGGATAAGAGGAGTAGACGGTGATAGCTGAAAGAGTTAGGAAGGAGATGAGGACAACAACGAAAGAAAGAAAAAAGCAGAAATTGCAAAAGAAAGGAAGAGAGGAAAAGGATGAAAGCAACTAAAAGGCGAGAGAGAAAAAAAATGGCTGTATTCCGGCCCAGTTCCGTCTGCCACAAAATACCCACTTTGTTTCTTCTTCAATTCATGGTAGGGAAATGAGTGGGTATGTGGAAACATGTTGGAGGCTTTTAAAGACAATAGACGGCCTCATATAAACAGCGTTTTTTGTTTTTTTTTAAAAAAACTTTTTCCTTTTTATTTTTAACCGACACTCCTATATCAAATTGTTGCTATGACATTTTAGAATTTGACGAATTCATTGCCAAACCTACACACGAAAGCATAAAGAAAGTGACGTTCACGAAAAGAACGAGAGATAAGAACATCACCCCCCCCAACCAACACACACAGGAATATCCCCCTTCATATGCATACATATAAACAGTCACATATATGTGGGGTAGCAGAAAAGTACTCGGCCCAAACAAGCAGCTATTCCTCAAGAAAATTTGATTAGTGATCAGATTTGGGTAATTGGATCGACCCGAGGATTCTTTAGTACCTCCACAATCGACCAAGAATAAAGTACAGATGTGCTTTGGAAAACATGTTATTTAAAAAAAACAAAAAAAAACAGCGTGGTTATTTGTTTAAAATA